TTAGGGGGCGGGTTGTGGATATCGCGATATCCCCGATTGATCTCGACGCAAATTTGCAATTGGTATGCTTGTGTGCCGGTGGGTGCACTCGTACGGCCTCGCACCCGTATGTGTATTGCGTTATGAGTTCCTGCGCGAGTTCTTGTTTGCCTATTGATATGTTCTACTGCTGCTGCTGCACACAGTCGCCCACCTGGTGTGTGATATGTAGAGCCCTGAAGTATGATTACAAGAAGCATGTTTGTATCTGTTTTCGCGTATGTTATAAGGTTGCCTATCTGAATGTGTATGTCATCACGATTCTCTTTAGAGCGCGATCCGCTTCATTCCTAGCGATGAGCCCGGTCGTGTGGGTACCATACGCACTGTGACTGAAGTTAAGCTTCTTGGACTGCGTACTCCATCTGTATTGCACCGTATTTGAGTATACTGCCTTTCATCCCCCAACCGACCGGATCCTAAACACAAGTTCTTTTTAAGACACTTTTAATACGTATATTCGTGGAAATTGACCACAATCTACGCCACCCTTTCCTTCACAGGCCGTGTGTACGCTTCACAATAGTATATATGTCTACGACTGCCTGGACCAGTTTAATCTGAAAGTGTGGGATCTACAGGTAGGTGCTCTCGTATTGGCAGTTGTACATTTTTATGTGTCATCAACTAAGTGCTAAAACTACTGGTCAATATTTAGCAGACAACACGTCTGGTTTGTGTTTTGTACCTCTTCACTGCCATGGCCGAGCTCATGGCAATGTACCCGATTCGTTCTAGACATCTGATGTGGTTGACATGTCATTTAAACGGACATGTGTGAACCAACATGCATTAACAGGCACTCGTAGAATGTTACCCACGAGTCCCCGACGTTGCTGATGTCAAATTTGTCGGGCATATAGGTATTTCAGACTTTTATCACATGCATTATGGAAGCACGGTTGAGCTCTCTCACACAACATCTGGAAAGCGTCTTGCATATGCTATAGAAAGCATCACCGTACCAACGCGTGGACAGGTGCACAACCCTGGCGCCAATTTATGCTCGTATCGAAACCCTTGCTTCATATACAAGCTTCATCGCAGATTATGAACACGCACATGAAGACTAACACAGCCCAAATCTCTCCTGCTCCTTCCAGGAAGAGATATGGTGCAGTGGGTGTAGGAGTGTCTGTTGGGGTCCGCTAAACTCACCATGTATCCTGGTAGCTGGGCTCAGCAGTGCATCTGCATCAATAATCAAGGTACATCAGTTTGTTTTATTGCAAATACTGCGCATTGCTAGTCCCCTCGACGAATACCTATCGCTCGACTTGTATGAGTGCTTTGCTGAGTGCTTGCCGCTTTGAACAAAGCTTAGAATATTTCAATATCACGTATACGAAGTAGCTCGTCGGACTCTTTTTGGATGAGCATTGATTGCAGATTGTGTTACCATGGCTCTCCGATTAGTCGCTCGCTTTTGGTGGTTGTTCTATTGTTTAGGATGGCATAGCAAGGGATTATTTATCGCCGCACATATCATTCGAACACATTTGTTGTGTATGCGCGAATACGCATAGAAAATCACGCCGGCTTTACTTGAGCAAACTCTGTGTCGATAAATATTTGTGTGTGTACATTCGTATACAAAACTCAACAGGATACCTTGATGTTCATGTGCATCAAAACCATCTCCGTATTAGACATATATTCGAACACAATTATTGAGTTTAAGAACCGTCGATATATAAACGTACGTTTTGATACACCCAGCGTAGTTGTATGAGAAGAAAGCTAACTGGGGTGAGATTGACATCTCGCGCTGGGCTGATGCGCACTGCGAGCAGCGCATTGGTGATGTGACGGCAGTGGCCTTCTCTAGTGATATATATAGGTGAGTTCAGTCTAGCTAGTCTCGTGGTAGTGCGTGGTATGATGTGCATAGGGTTGTTTGCGGGAATTATGTTGTGCACTCGATCTCGGATGCGATAATCCGAGAGCTCGCATGGGAGGGAGGGGTGTGTGCTGCACGCGTGTGTTCCTTACCATCGTGCGTGCGTTTATGATGTAGCATAGTTGAAGCGGATGCGTTGTAATACTTTATCTATATTGAGACTGAATCAATGCGCCACGCTTAACTGGCTGTCGCCTGCACGGTGTTGGGCCGAGATTAACAGTCTTCCGGCATGAGAAAAGGCGAGCGAAGATATCATTGTTATATATCATTTGAAGGACTTGTTTTTAGTACAGCCCTGTAGAAGTCTATAAGGGCCTATCACACCCGGCCGCTCTATTCGATATAATCGTGTACGAAACACATCCGAAAAGACTGTATCTGAGGCGATCCCGAAAGCAACCAGTGTAATCATCAGAATGCGATCGTCGCATAACTCCGCCATAGTGCCAGCTCGACTTGAACATCGCATATTGATCATCATGAACACGTGTAAGGCAAACTTACAATGCATCATATAAATTGTCGGCCATAATCACATCCTCAGGACGGACCTAATACTGGCGCTGGTACAACAAGAAAGCCTGCAGCCAGAATTTATATGCATGGGACTAGACAGTAGCAAGCGGACTGGTGTGAGGTTCGTATGTTGGGCTGCGTAAACGGCCCAGTTTTGTAGACCTCATCTGTGCGTCCTTGACGTATGTTTTTCATGAAGGCCGTCATCAAGACATGGCTTTCTCGTTCAGGCTGCTTGGTAGAGTTTGCGAGTTTTGTTCATACATTGATTGTTATGCAGCACACCATCTCCTGCCAGTCGTATTGCGCCCTCGAGCTTCTTTGCTGAGTCCGGGAGTGTTATTGACTCTACTGCGTTTGAAATAGCAAACTACATAGATGAGATCTTGTGATACAATACATACCTTACACAGCAATGGAATCTCAACCTCTGAGTGGATCGGGAAACGGATAGAAGTGTTGCAAAACGCCTCATCTCAGAGCGGTAGGTAGTTTCGATGTGTATATGTATGTGTGTGGGCAGATACTCACCGAAACATTGATACATGCGAGAACATAAGTTATGATGCAAAAAATGGAAATAGGGGCTGTTGTGTGTGTATGTATATTACGGTTAATCAAGCATCTGAGATGTAGTTCTCATCTAGTAGAATAGGTATTGACATACCCAGATACACTGAATAGGGGGATGTTTCTATAGATATATATATACGGGTGTGTGTGCTGTGTGTGGGTGTGGGTGGGTGTTTTTGTTTGTTTGTTTGTTTGTTCGATTGAGTGCACATATATAGTTTACTTGTTCATTTATATGTATGTATACGGGTGTATGTGTGTGTTTTTATGTATGTGTGTGTGCATGCATGCATGTATGTATGTATCATGTATGTATGTATTTATGTATGTATGTATGTATGTATGTAAGTATACAAAAAGTTTTATTGACAAGCAACCATGCCAATACTTGCATAAATGATTATATATATTCAAACAGGTGTGTGTCTATCACGTACACAGTTGTAAATCTACATCTTCATATTTGTACATTACAAGTTCTATAGCGTAACAATCGTACTGCAAAGTTTGTATTGCGATGTCTACGTCATACTAATAATTTACTGGCAAGCACCATACCAGCACATCACTGACTCTTCATTTTATATGCATATATGTACATATACAGATATAAATGTATATCACAAGCATACATGCTATTACTTGCGTATGTGGTTATATATATATATATATATATGTGTGTGTGTATGTATGCATGTATGTAAGTATGTGTGTGTGTGCGCGTGCGTGCGTATGTATGTGTATGTATGTATGTATATATATATATATGTGTGTGTATGTGTGTGTGTGTATGTATATATATATGTGTGTGTGTGTATGTGTGTGTGTGTGTGTGTGTGTATGTATGTATGTAAATATTTACGTGTGTGTGTGTGCGTGCGTGCGTATGTGTGTGTGTGTGTGTGTGTATGTATATATATATCTGTTGTGCCACTAAGCCTTACTTTGTCCCTGGCCGGGTTTGATATGAGACGTATATGGAAGATGAAGGAATCGCTTAAAGAGTGGTGCTGGGAGTGCGTACACGCGCAACTACTCGCAGTGACAGATGCGTAGTCAGACAATTGAATCTTGTCAACCAAATTTATTTGAAATTGGCATTGATTGCTTCTTTTAGATTGGAGAGCGCTAGTAAACGCATTGAAAGCTCTATAAAAACGCATGAGACCTCACACTTGCTTTCGAAGAAGGTGGGACATTTTGTTAATATAGACTTATGCAGTATGAATTACATGTATGATAATGTATCTGAATAGAATTCTCAAAGCACCTGATACATTCTGAATACATGTATGCTGGAGCATAGATGAACTTACAACCGATTCGAAAGGCACCTGGATCTAGATGTAGTTGTACGATATCGTCAAAATTGTGATATATATATATATATATTTATATATATATATATACATATATATATGTATACATATATACATGATGGACAATGTCATGTTAGACTCCATAATCGTGTCGTGGTCCTGCGAGATTGACTCAATTTTGATGGTCTTGCGATGTCCCTCAACGATTAGTTAAGTGCAGACACCGGTGTCTGCACTTAAGTGCGATTTCGTCCAGGAAATCTTGCGTCTTATAAAACGCGAGGTGCCAGACTTTGCTGAAATTGCCGGTCGGCTAACACACCTCGTCGAGGGGCATCGCAATGCGATCAAAATTGAGTCAATCTCACAGGACCGCAACACGAATATGGAGTCTAACATGACCTTGTCCATCATGACATGCATTGACATACCTCTTCTTATCAAATTATATATGCCTTGACATACAACTGTTATAATCGATACTAGACTAAGCAGAATAAGGAATACACACCCAGAAACAACTAACGAATCGAAGCAACTATGCCGAGCTAGCATTTGAACCAACGCTCAACTCTCCTGAAATGAAGAGTCGTATGGCCTCCTATAGGCTAGAGTGTACTCTTACACCTAAATCTCAACAACATATATAATTATATTACCATATTACTTTAATAGGAGGATTTGCCTCCACTATTTCAAACCTTGCTAGTGGTTTCCTTAATAAAGACAGCGATGATAGCAGCAATTCCGAAAGCGACACCGTTCATCAGCATAACAGCCTCGAGACCTAGACTTACACGCATCTCTCCCACGACCAGAGTTACAATGATTTGTGGGACAACAATGAACAGATTTAGAAGTCCGAATTGTGCTCCAACCTGTGCCTCGTCTCCTGACTCTTCATTGGATTCCTGATTGTACTTACCAACGATTGCGAAAGGAAACGCATTGATACCTGAGATAGGAATGGCCATTCCAACACCTACAATGTAAGCGTATGCCTCACCACGGATCCAGTATGATGCTGCAAAGTTTGAGTGGAAGTTCGAGTCAGTTGGAGTAAATACGATTCTGCCCCAAAAAGACTAACTGTACTTAAAGTAGTATCATGATACAAAGAAGAGTAGCCTCTTGCGTGCAGTATTACACCACAGGAGAATCCAACAAAGATCTGAGTTTTGTTTCGATTGCGTGTTGGCAAAAATGAGTAGTATGATCCTATATTTTAGATAACAACAGATATAATTGAGCCAGATTTCCACATACCAACCATAAGGAAGCAACCCACAACAAGCAGGGCGCTCCAGATGAAACGGCATTTGACAATGACGCCTCTCGTCATCAGCATGGATAGACCACCAGCCATGATGATTTGCATGACATTTGCAAGAATGTTAGCATTTGCATTGACTTCCAGTCCCTTACTGTAGTTGTCGTAGTCTTCCTGGGAACATACGGGAGTTTCTCCAGCGGGAGTATCCCTTGGGTTAACACCACAACCTTCCATGACAACCGTGGTGTACCAACTGGAACTGACGGGCCACCAGCCGAAGAGCCCCCACCAGCAGAAGAATACGGTGCAACCGACAATGATTAGCTTGCCAGTTAGCTGTTTGATCGACTTGGCAAGATGGATGAAAGGCTCGGCAATAGATACTTTTTCGCCCTCTGGTTTGGGGAAGTGCTCCTCCTTAATTAAGAAGCAAGCCAGACCAACGAACACCACATTGACCACCAACACAAGAATGAACAGCACCATTACTTCGAGGGGATCCGTATAGAAATACTTCTGAAGCACGTATCCTACCAAACCGCCAACACCTTGGAAAGTGGAGGCCATAAGTTGACCGGCGGATTGCTGCGAGGGCGGTGCGAAATCTGCAATGAGTGCGCGGAGTGGGGTCTGGATAACATTAATGCAACCATCCAAGCAAATGAACGACACCATCGCTACAGTCAAACCAGCATCCCCCATACTCTTAGAGTTTGCGAGAAGCATACTGAAGAGGGCAAGCAGACAAAGACCGATGATCATCCAGGGACGGCGACGTCCCAGCTTCAAGTGTGTCTTGTCAGATAGTGAACCAACAACAGGTGCTACAAAGAACCCCATGAGAGGTCCCGACAACCAAATATTGGAAGCAGCCTTTTCTCCTAGTCCCATTGCAATTAGATATGGTGTGGTGGTACCGAATTCGGCAGCCCAAATACATTGCACACCAACCCAGGGGAGTGCAAGCAACATGATTTGACCGTACACCTTGAGTTTCTCGTTGCCGGTCTGAGGGTGCGGGTCAATCCAGAAGATACCCTTGGCCTCGGCCTCCTCTCTGCTCAGGTAGTTAAACGCTTCATCGCCGCCGTCATCAACTGCGTAGCTGGACTCTTGCAGCTCGCTAATTGAATTCTTTTTCTCGGTATCCGCCATTGTGTTTCGGACTTTGTATTATGTATCATGTAAACTGGCCATTAAATTCCCAAGCAATTGCAATTTATAATATAAAGTTATAAACGTTCAATCTTGACCAATGTGTAAGAGATTTTACGATATCTGTGAACAGCTGAACTGGTAAAATATGTCACCCCAGCGGCCCAGCAGAGTGAATATGTCTATAGAGGCATGTAACGAGGGCAAAATAATTTACAACAAGCGTGTCTAAATAAATACATATTTAGTTGTAAATACTAAATAAGGGCTTTTTTTTTAAAGAAAAAGGAGACTAGAAAGACCGTATGTAGACCCGCCCAGACGCCCATGAGACAGACGCCCATGAGACGCCCAGGAGGCCGGAACCCGGAGGGCGTATTTATGCATATCATCCGTACGTCACATTTGTTCTGCTGCTCTTGTAGAGTGTAATAGGCCTAAAAAAATTGGAATAGGTCGTCAAATTCTCCTTTCTGGTGGCTCATATTTGCAAAAGTTTATAAAAACAATTAAAAAGTGCTCTGTCACCAAGTTTGAAAAAAAGTGTTCACTGTGTGTACTTTTGTTTTAAAAAAAGAAACAAATAAACGGCATGTACACATAAATATTTATGTAAATACATACAAATGTACTATGTAGTTATATACTGTACCAAAGTATTTATAAATATATATTTTTCTAAAAAAAGCTAAACAGGATATCTGCTGACTCTCTAGCTCCTAGTTCGCGAGATTTCAATAAATAATTAGTTGAACAGATTATTTCCATATTTGTATAAAAAGGCAAATAATGCACTTTTATTGGCTAATTATGGAAGTGAATTTCAGCTGAAGATGTTCTTTTCTAGTTCTATTCCGTTTTTAGCCTTTTTTGGAGGAATACATAGGCCAATATTATTTTTTATAGTACACCACAAAACAATTAAAAAAAGAACTGAGTGACGAAGCCAGGACTGAGTACACACTCCACAGTGACCACACTCACAGTGACCATACTTTTAGTCCTTAGTTCTCACTCCTCACTCCTCACTCCTCACTCTTCACTCCTCACTCCTCACTGTCCTTTTAGTCTCCACTCTCCACTCTCCCCTGTCTCCGGTCTACACTCTCCACACCTTGATTAAAACCCTTGTTAGTGGCTAATATTTCTCTCAGTTTTGAACCTGCCGGGAACCTCAAAGGCTAATCGGAAAAGAAAAAATTTATTGTGTCTATACGGCACCCGTAACTATAAAACTATTAACGCCCAAGCCTTGTATTCCTATAGTTTTTTGAATTTATGTGTTTTTTTGAGAAGGCTATGAATTTATACTCTGGAAAAAAAGTATAATTGCGGTTAATGAAATCACAGAACAGGACAAAATCCCTTGGACCTGAAAATCACACTGGATGCGGTTTTGGACACTGGCTCGGGCTTTAATAATTTTATAGTCACGGGTGCCGTATAGACACAATCGTCACAGGTTAGGCCCATAGCCGTATGGCATATTAGTTACGAGTGAATTGCCTCTTCTCTCTCTTTCCTGTGAAATAAAAACACCTCTCATGATTTAGGGTCTCAACTCTCGAGCGGAATTCAAGAAAGTTTCTCTCTCTCTACTACTCTCGGTATAGAGTCACTAGAGTGTCTCTACAACATCCAAATTTTAGCAGAGACCCAAATCCAGAGGGCCGTGATAAAAACTAAAAGAGGTGACAAGTAAGAACTGAAGAGTGAAGACTGAAGACGTCTTTTTTTTAGAGAAGCTGTCTAATTCTCAGAAGGCGATGGAGAAGCATGCATATTTTTATTCAATATGTACTTTTCTTTCCCCTTTATAACGCTATCTATGTTTACAGTTTTACTAGGCATATTTAGCGGGCAATGCCGGGCATAGCCTTCTTACATACCGCCTTTATTGTATTTATTTGTTTTAAATATTGGACGGTGGACGGGGCCCAAGAATTAATGCTATTTATTTTATTTTTAAAACTTGTTTGTTGTTGTTTTTTACAAACCAAATTTATATGCATTTTAATTTCATAAAGTCATAAAACCAAGAGACGTGAAACAAATCTTTTTATATATATATAAAAAGGTCTCTTGCATATTGACAATACATACTGATACAGTGTGTACTATTTTTGTTGATGTTTTTTTTTAAACTGAAACAAATATACCGAAATCGGAAATATATAGGGTTTTCGTGGATTTACGTGGAAGTAGGAATAAATCCGTAAATAGCAACTTATTTACCATTTTGAAAGAGGCTATGGAGCTCTTAGAGACCGAGAGATATTTGAGGCAGATCTAGTAGTGAATCGATCTTCTCATTTAAGAATAAACAACCAGCGAGAACAAGACCCCAGTTAGTTGACTCGCAACATGACGGAAGTGACATTCTCAATACAATATAATACCCAGCCCGGCGAGTCTATCGTCGTGACTGGGTCTATCCCCGAATTAGGCGAGTGGGAAGTGAACAAAGCGTTACGCCTGGACTATCGTGACGGTGGACACTGGTTAGGTGCAGCAACGATCTCTGGCGATTTTGAGTACAAGTACGCAATCGCATACGATTTCGGTACGGCTCTCACGTGCGAGTTTGGGGACAACCGCAAATGTGCATTAGCAGATGGATTAGCTAGAGCTGTGCTCCAAGAGAGGTATGAGTTTGATTGAGTTTGTTTGCACGAGACCACTGCGCTTTTTTCGCCAATGTAAATTCTCGTTGCTAATAAATGTTACCTCTAGTAGAAGTTTGGGTTGTTTTTTTATATATGATTATTTGTGTGCGCTCGGCAATCATTCACTTGGAATCAAAGGCAAGTGTGTCGAGGCCATCTAGATCTCGCCGCTGCATATATTAACATTTCCCTAGCATTGCCCCGCTCATTTCTTTACTGCCAGAGTTTTGATATTGTACCCACATATCTCTTATCAAGATGGTATCGTACTCTAGTTCACAGTCGAGGCCATCTAGCTCTCGCCTTTGCATTTATTTCCATTTTTCTAGCATTGCCCTGCTCGTTTCTTTACTGCCAGAGTTTCGATATTGTACCCACTTATCTCTTATCAAGGTGGTATCGTACTCTAACTCATGCCTACCTTTTTTTTACCACGTATATTGCAGCTGGCGCCCCCATGAGGTCGACACAAATGTACTGTACAGTTCATTCTTTGTGGATGGAGCATTGCGTCCTGCCGAAGGTACGTCAGTATTTCGGTGAATACAGTCGATACTAATTGCTTTGTCAGTTTGCGCTGATATTTTATGCTTTGAACAAGCTATCCGCTAGTAAGATTGATTGCGCGCGTCATTTGAATTGGTCGCGACTTTTTCTAGCATTCAATAGATCTATGTTAAAAGTATTGATGTGGATTGTTAGCATAATTCCGAGTTTTGCTAAAATAACCTTGCATCTTCAATTCGCCGTAGACCGTATTGCTCCGGCAACAGGTAAATATGAATCTGGACCCGTCGTTCGCATTGTGATGCGTTGCCCTCAGGTATGTTCGAATCTTCTTATTATTGTCCGATGAACTTTTGACTACTATAAATGCTTTATTGGCATGCTGCCTGATTGATGCTGCTTAACCATATTTGAAAACAGTTACAATAACATGCTTATGTGACATTACTATTTTTGAATAATATTTGATATATATAATGAACATGAAATTACCCTTTTGTCGCAATAGGTCGAGACCGGCGATTCAGTAGCCGTCACTGGTTCGTGCGCGGCCCTTGGAGATTGGGACGAGGCTAAAGCGCTGGTGCTCTCAAACGTAGACCATCCCGTCTGGACTGGCGAATTCAATACGGATGCGGGGCAAGAGGTAAACTACATACAGACTTTGTATTTTTCTTTTGGAATGTTTTCGATGGTGCTATACATAACTTTCTCATAGGAGGCAAGCTGTTACATACCAGTCAGTTATCCATCGGTGATGGTTGTTATTCTTGTAGTTCTAGCTCCTTTCAGTAGTTAAATGTTTTTGATATGCATGGTGTATCCTTTTGCTTTCCAGGATTCAAGGCGTATGGTTTTTATATAGTGGCTTTCTGCTAAATTATGATTGTTATTATTTAGTACTCATGTGATGTTGGTGAACTTTCTATGAACAGAGCAATATAGTTATATGTATGTGCGTGTTGTATGGTGTATGCCAATTGTCCAATCAGTCGACTTATGCTTCACTTTACTAGTCTTTACTTACAGATGACCTCTATTCGTTGGTGTTTGTGGTCCTATGGTGTCTGGTTATTTAAGATGTGACTCGATTGTGCTCTGGGGGTATCCGCAATGCATAATCTATAGGTATTGATACTTGGATGCGCATCATAGTGCGGCCTGTTTTGGCATGAAACTGTGCGAGTTTCGCAGTGTTTTCTACATGCGATCGAGAATAAACCGTGTGGTATTCTATTTCGCCAATGCCACATCCAACTTATCAACCACAGATCTCGTACAAGTTCATCATCAAGGGAAAAGACGGCAAGGTGCGATGCTGGGAGGAGGGAGACAACCGGTCTCTGTTGGTGTCTAAATCATTCGGCAAAGGTGATCTATGGGTCAAATCCGACGAGTTCTTCCGTTTCAAGGCCAACTGGCGTGGCTGTGGCGTAGCCATGCCCGTGTTTGCACTGCGAACAAAAGAGAGCGCCGGAGTCGGTGAATTCAACGATATTAAGAAGCTCGTGGATTGGTCGGATAAGGTGGGCTGTGCGCTTATTCAGATCTTACCGATCAACGACACTGTCGCCAAGCAGAAGTGGACTGATTCTTACCCTTACGCAGCCATATCTGTGTATGCCCTGCATCCCATGTATCTTAACATGAAGAAGATGGGCACCCTGCGTAGGTGTGTGCGTGCACGAGAACTTTTGTTCTATTCTCGAATTCGAACATTTAAGTCGCTTTTTATGGATGTAATGTATCCATTTTTTTGGTAAATGTGCTAAAATTAGCTTCCTACCCATTTGCCCTCCATAGTGAAACAACACAGAAGGCCATCAATGAGAAAGCGAAGGAGCTGAACGCACTGCCTGAGGTTGACTATGAGGCTGTAATGAAGCTGAAGTCTCGTTTCTATAAGCTGCTCTTCGATGAAGTCAAGGAGGAGTTCTTCAAAGATCCCGCCTACCAAGCATGGTTTGAAAAAAACAAAGAGTGGCTTCTACCGTATGCCATGTTCTCATATTTCCGTGATATATACCAGGTGAGTAATAAATACTTTTCTGCAGGTTTTGTGTTGCATCCGCTAGTACATTCGCGAAGATAATTGAGGTATCTGCGCTCGTATTGGGGGCGGGCTTCTTCTGGGCTTTATTTTGCTATGTACTATACATTTTGGTCGTACATTACGTATGCAAAATGCCCACTTTAAGACTAAGTATTACCTTGGACTAGTACTCTCGGGCGATGCCCATGTCGAAAGGTACTTTTCAGAAATTATTAAGCTGGTATATAATTCTCGCGTCACGCATTCTGTTTGTCTATCGTCATAGACCCCCGACTTCACCAAATGGGGAGATTTCTCATCGCAGACTTTCGAGCAGCTAGAGGTGCTTGCAGACCCCAAAAAGGATGACTACACGGATATCTCCGTACATTACTTCATCCAATACCACTTGCACTTGCAGGTGAGCAAATTTGTCAGTATCTATGGCTACTACTATCCTTTCGCGCAAACTTTGGTGTATCTGATTCGCGTTGAGTTTCATGCCAAGAATGTACTGGTGTGAATTTTCGTTGTGTTCATGACCTTTGTGCTGATTCTGACATTATTTTATCTTGTTCCAGTTGCAAGAGGCTGCTGGCTATGCTCGCTCTAAGAATATTTGTCTGAAGGGAGATATCCCTATCGGCATTTTCAGACACAGTGTAGATGCATGGATGTATCCTAATCTATTCAACATGGAGATGCAGGCCGGTGCTCCACCAGGTATATCTAGTCAGTTCAATTACTAACCTTTATATTCTTGAGGTGCTCGTATTGTGCGGGTGCTAGTGCTGTTTCATGTGAGGAATGGTCGAACGTACCCCGTATACCTGCCCTGTATGGGTAACTGGCCCTAGATTTGTATTCTGGCTCGCACGTTTTATAGTGCTCCATATTGAATGATTATTATGAGGTGTCAATAGCTATTTACAGCTGTCACGGCCTTTTTGCATTTGCCTTATATTCTCGTATCTATCGCCCGCTGCATTAAGATGATTTCGCCGTCGATGGGCAGAATTGGGGTTTCCCTACCTACAAATGGGAGGAGATGGAGAAAGACGGTTTCCAGTGGTGGGTGAAGCGTCTGACGCAGATGGCTGAGTACTTCGATGCTTACCGTATTGATCATGTACTTGGTTTCTTCCGTATCTGGCAGGTGTGAATATCGTTCTTTTCCTGGTTTATTTGATGTGAAGGTGTATTTCGTATATTTCACCTCTGTACATGCGCTGAAATTGCTTAAGTATTCGATGTTCCGATTGCTCAATATCTTGTCGTCTTTTCTTTGTCGTGTGTGGATTCATATATATTTCAGATCCCCATGAACGCTGTGACGGGTCTTATGGGCTACTTCAACCCCGCTATTCCGATCCACATCGACGAGATTCGCAGCCGAGGTATACATTTCGACTACGACAGGTATTGCAAGCCATATATTCGCGAGCACTTCCTGGGCGACAAGTTTGGTGAGTATACCGATTATGTGAAGTCCGAATTCCTTGAGCCCCAAGATCATGGGGTGTGGGTACTGAAGGAACATGTGGACACACAACGAAAGGCAGCCAATCTTTTGGCTCCTACCGAGACTATGTCTATGGCTGATCGTGCCAGAAATGAGAAGATTAAGAGAGGTTTGTGGGCCCTGCACGCCGAGATTCTATTGATTGAGGTACCAGGCAGTAATAAGACTGAGTTCCACCCGCGTGTGCGTATGAATACAGGCTGCAAGAGCTTTGAAGAACTGGATGGACACAGCAAATCACAGCTGTACGAATTGTATTTAGACTACTTCTTCTCGCGGCAGGAAGAATTCTGGGCGGAGAAAGCTCGTGTTAAGTTGCCCGCCATCAAGAATGCTACCAATATGTTGATCTGTGCAGAGGATTTGGGCATGGTACCGGCGTGTGTGCCCGGTGTCATGAAAAAACTTGATATGGTCCGCTTGGCCATACAAAGAATGCCTCCAGGTATGCATAACCCTTACCTTCACATCCGTGGACTGTTCTTTACATTTATGTGTATAGACGTCATTTTTATTGACGAGCTATTGCGTTCTACAATACCTTGTTGACGAGAGAACACGGTAGTTCGTTTCTTGTCTGGCACTGTTGTGTACACTCATCACTGCAAAGCATATCTGCAACATGCATATACAATGAGTGGTCCATCTCTTATCACTGTTCCACCGCACTTGAGTACCGATATTCTTGTCTTGTATAGTTTCTTTTTAACTCGTATCAACCACCTGGTCACACACACAGACACAACACAGAGCTTCTGGCATCCCCAGGATACGCCCTACCTGTGCGTAGCTTCTCCATCTGGCCATGACATGTCCTCCATTCGCGGCTGGTGGGAGGAAGACCGCGCTGTGACTCAGAAATTCTGGGAAGAGATTCTAGGTCACCACGGATCAGCCCCTAGCATGTGCGAACCGTTTGTGGTGTACGAAGTTGTTAATCAACACTTGTGGGCTCCCTGTATCCTGGCAATCTTCCCTATTCAGGATATCGTAGGAATGAACGGCAATCTTAGAAGAAACCCGCCTCAGGTACGTAGTTCACACTTCGAGAGCGTCGATTGTTTTGTTTGGTAGCTTTCAAAAAAAAATGCCCAGGTTTATTCTAAATGCAGGCCTTCTTCAAAGCGGCGTTCCTCAAAACCCTCAAGGGTTTGTTTTCTGTAAATGCCGATTCTGAGCCCCCGGTTTGGTTTTGAACCGTTTTTTCGAATACTAATTGATTTTATTCTAATTTTTCAGGTTGAGCAAATCAATGTACCGGCGAACCCCGAACACTATTGGCGTTATCGATTCCATATGAACATGGAAGATCTTATTGAGGAAACTAGCTTCAACAACAGCTTCAAGAAAATGATTATGGATGCCGGCCGACGATCCGCATATGGCACACACACTCAATAACCGGGGTCTTTAACCCGATTTTCAAACACGAATAACTTTTGATCCAACCATACAAATTCAAAAAGCAAAACGCCAAAGTCCTCGGCTGATGGTGAGCTGTCCAAAAATGCAATAAAAAAAAGGAATGGCATATTTGGACCCCTTGGGGTCTGGTCCGAGGTTCTGGCCCATCTGGGTATGGTATACAAAGCCGGTTTTTACTAATTCGACACACACAGCTTCTCCGGAACAAAATTTGTATAACAATCACAAACAAAACCATTTGCATATGTACATATCGTACGTGTGTGTTTGCACACACAAATAATAGATACCAAAACTTAGTCACAATTTGTTTAGAATGGTTCAGACTAGAAAGCGCAAATATGTACAGACTACCTCCAAGTTGGGTGGCAGCAAGAATAGACGCGGCGAATGAGATAGACTCATAACGAACAAAACTCGAGGATTTGTAACAAGAGCGCATGTATCGGATGGCAGTAGCTATGCGAGTGATACAGAGAGCGATGCAACACCGTGTAAAAAGAAGCAAAGTGGACGGTCACAAAGACAGTACGCTCGTGAGAAAACTGGGCGATTTGGTGGCAATGTTAAACAAGCTAACAAGGGCAGAGCATCGATGGAGAGTTTGAATCGAAAACGTCCGAAAATACTAGGTGTGTATTCCCAAGTGTTCTGACCGTACGAAACGTAAAAAGCAGTTGATTTTGAAGCGTGCAGCAGTTGGTACAGCCGGTTTGAGTTCATTCGGCTTTGGACAGAAGTGCATTGTTTGTGAATAAACAAAATGTGACTGTTCTGAGTTGGATCGAGAATCAGAGCGAAGGCGTCGTTTCATTAACGAATATATGTGCATATGCGATAGTGCAAGCTATCGTGATTGTACTTGTATGTGTGCTTGTTGGTTAACCGAGGACCAGATATGCACATGTGTAAACGAGGGAGTGTTTGAAATAAATGCTTACCCTGCGTCTGTGTCAAGCAATGCGTCGTGCGTTTCTGATACAGATGGAGAGTTACAACATCCAGACGAAGATTTGTTTGTCGATAGTGAGGAAACAACTTCGAACAGTAGTCTCAACAATCCTCTAGATAACATAATAGATGACCAGGATTTTGATGAGTTTGACGCAGCACTAGAGGCGTTATTGGAGGAAGAGTTGGATCGAAACACGAAGAACCACTCAAAAGTGTGGTCTTTATCTAGTGACCAAGTAACTCTTAGGATTAATATACTCAACCGTGAACTCAGAAAACATTCACTTGCTATCACACAGAGAGATAGAAGTATGGCTATGAAAATGTATCTGATAAGCTGTAGTCGTGCTAACTGTAGTTTCAAAAGAGGCGATGATCTGGATGAGAGGAGTGCTCCACAGAAGTGGCACACTTACATACTGATAAATTAACGGGTAGCATATAAACTGTAAATAGGGTGCGAAACTCGTGAATATTCAAGCGTGCTAAACATGCCCGAGCTGATCGATCGAAGAACGCTGAGTTTGTTTAGTAGTTGCATAGAACTTAAGCGCTGATTGAATCTTCGCAAGCCAAAATTTCATTCAGTTGATTTCAAGTTATCGTTATTCACTGATCTCGGCTGAATATATAGAAACTCATGCTGTATGGGTGGCACTACGGTCCTACATCAATTTCAATTCCCGAACGCCTAATTGATCTAATGGTTTACCTTATATTCCGCTTACTGTTTGTGATTTTTCGTTTGGTAATCCTACCGATGTCGAGAAGATCCTAGGTAGATCGACATACAGCAATCATATATATATATATACTTATATATATATATATATATATATACTTATATTATATTATTATATATATATTATTATATACATATATATTTATATATATATATATATATGTATGTGTGTGTGTGTGTGTGTATATATATATACGTATATATATATTAGCGACGTCCTGCTATACAGACTACTCAATGCTTGGTACCGTGTAGCATACCTTTATTCTATTTTCAATTGTACTCTCAAGTCAAATAACCACATATTTTCCTGGTTATGTTTGATTTTATTAAATACTGACATCGTTTACGGTGACCCGTTTAATGTTTATTTTGCTAACGTATGTATATTGGTATGCTGCACTTAGAAACGTGAGAATAATAGAAATCCCGTATAAATTTTGATTTATAGCCCAATGAACTTCTATACCCCTGAACCCTAAAATCTTCAAGTGCGCTGCCATCCTTTGTACACTTCAAAAGATGCTTGCTTCACATTCAAATGAAGCTAGCAGTGCATACATCTGTATCGAGTAGTAAAAACCTTGTACAACTCATCACCACCGGTAACAACATGTCTGTTTTAGTCGTAAATATCTCTGGTTTTTCTGTTTCTCATGAGCTGTTTATTTTGGATACGAAGATCACTTGAAAGCGCAGATTTCTGATCCACTCCTTCCAATTTTAGGCGCATGGTGGCGCTATCAAATCCTTTTTCTGTCGAGTGCGAGTGTAATTTTTTACATATTTTCCCTTGAATCTATTTGATGATATTGAACAAGATTGTTTCGTCACGGACGAACGACTACTTGAGTTTGCCTGGGTCACTTCCCTTAGCTGAGCTGCTATTAGTTCTCATGTAGGTCTTGCAGGGATATACGTCTAGAAACACTTTGCATTTCAGTTTTACAGCCTCAGTATCCACAAGGGTGTATCATCAACAAGGTGTGCTGAAAGACACTTTCAGTGGCTGCTCAACACAGCCAGATAAACAATCACAGTAGCTATAAACTTGAATCAATCAACGAACAATGTGTTTAACATCTATACCCGAGTATTATATAAAAAAACCACGTGCCATCCAACTTTTACCTTGTCGTGACTGATAAACAGCACCAACTCATATTGAAAACGCTAAATTTGTTGAGTCACGCGAATCAATCCTGTTTGGAAGGGGCTACTGTATTCCATACAGGGGTCTGAAAGTTGTCATAATTCCAAATTCGACAACTGTCGATGTATGGCAAGTCATATATCATATGTTTTTCGCAAAATTTCCGATTGAAGATGCGCGTCAAACTATACACTCCAGCGCAATATATATATTGCCACCAATCGAGTTTTATGAAGCGTCTCACAACGAGCCTTTATCTGTGTGTTAACAAACCGTCCTAAAAAGAGCTTCTACCTGTATGTTGATACACTAGTACATTAACATATCTACGTCGATTGTTAGAGCCGTGCCACCGACTTGATCGTATTCACTCAGATTCTGCTAAAACCTATGCAGCCTTAATGCTGGAAAATAGCAAGACTTCCCTTTTATCTATCATGGGTGCGTAAATTGGTGAATCGTATAGTGGCATTGCATGCCTCGTTAATTAACCGCTACGCAGTAGTCCCAACTTTGGTGGCATTACATTCGAAGGGTCTGATGAAGTCACAAACAAGGAAACCAATATCTAAGTGATTTGTAGCACACCCAGTCATCATTGTTGGACTTAATATCATAAACTTGAAGTCAGAAGTTGCTTCTATGTCTTGGCATTCAGGAGTAGGGTAATGATGCTGGTTTGTAACTGTAATACTCTCATGTCAGTGGTAGTTTTAACGCAGGGCCCAAAAATCTGATATTCCAGAGTTACTCGCGATCCATAGCGACATTCTGCGGAGTGGTTGGTCCGTAATGAAATTCAAGATTCATTCTTATCAAATACATATAAGCACATACGTTGTGAAGAGAGAGCTTCAGAATAAGTTTTGTAATGTTTTAGGACAAAAAAATGACTATTCATTCAATACTTAGGCATAGTGTCACAGCGAGTTTAAGCATGGAAAACAGAAGGTCTTCTGATCGCTTTGTTGTCGGGACGTAAAGCAGTTGCTTCTATTGAGAAAGAGTTGCCGCAAGAATTTTTATGCCGTCATTGTACACAAATATGTTCTGAGTGATCAAGACCTGTAAATATGCTAATGAATAATAATGTACACAAACTGTATCCGAGAGACAGCCCGATGTTATGTGCTGATATGTCCTTCGGGTACGGATGGGCAAGGTGTCCAATGAGAGTACCTAAACTTGTGATTGGTAGAATCTGCTACAATAAATTGACAATCATATGGAAGTGTGCGCGCTTCCTGTGGGACCAAATGCGCTTATATCCTGATGAGTGGTCCAAGAACCCATCATTCCGTTGAAAATCTTCGACCAGAGCCAAAATGAAGGGGTTATACCGGATGGAGAAGAAGAAAAAAAAATGAAAACTCCGGGCATATGGGCAGCGATGAAAATTGCTACCGAATGCTGACTATGGCCGACGAAGCGATGCCAAATTAAATTGGAAGTATGATCGAAAATGCAGGATCGTGTGTTTGCGATTGAGCACATGTAACCAGTTGCATTACTTCCGCCTAGTTATGGTAAAATGCATCAAACAAAGAGCTTGTGACCAAAGAGGCCAGCAGAAACAGTAGTACCTGGAAGTTGTAGACAAAATATAGAGGACGTCAGAGCAGTTGCAAACAACGTTAAAGTGCAAAAGTGAGTTACTCTCTCAACTCAACGTTTAAACCAGGTCATTCAGCTTTCCAGCAATGCAGTCTCGGGATCATTTACCTACGATGGGTGTTCAAAATTCACAGACCACCTATCAGCAGATAAAGCTGGTCGGCAGACGAAACACTGAATGAGCAGAATAAACCCCTAAAACAATACTTGCCATTGTAATAACTATCTCGCTGCTGGTAAACTTTAGTCCACGATGTTTATTATCAAAAATGTAGAAAGAAGCTTGGCGGTTATATATCGTTAATGCCTTGAAATCGACATCATGTGTCGTGATACAACAAATGCACCAATCTACTCCTATCAAAGTGAACAAGTCTTTCGATTTTTAGACACTGCAATACGTTTTTCCTTTCGCCGCCCCAACGATTTACGTCTTCCACGACTCGTGCGCTGTGTATGTACATACTTAGCGATAGTATTTTGAACAGCCTCTGGATGACAGTGCCGTACGATTATTTCAAACACCTCTTCTCGTAAATAATGTGAAAAATCCCATATGGTATTTGGCACTTGAAAAAAGACTGTCTGGCATTTTCCATAGCTAGCATGTCATTTCATTTTGCGTTTAGCACCCTGATGAGAACTAAAGAAACCATAGTATACATTCTATACCGTTGTGCTTTGTTGCTTTGTATGTACCTACTTAGCGATAGTATTTGAACAGCCTCTGGATGACAGTGCCGTACGATTATTTCATACACCTCTTCTCGTAAATAGTGTGAAAAATCCCATATGGTATTTGGCACTTGAAAAAAGTGTTGTAGCTATTCTAAAAATATTTTGATTATTAGTTGGCCATTTCCACATTTTTTTAGTTTGGAAACTGCGTGAAGGTTATGAGTACTTGGTCAACAGCAGTCCCGAGTTGGAGCGGGCTACTGCCTTATATATTTATTATTGACTAGTTCTTGGATGCGGAAATCTATCCTTCACATCTGTTCCGTCACCAAGTATCATATCGACCAAATTCCATTGGTCCATTGGTCATCATAAATCCTTTATCGAATATAGACTAAAGTGGATAATCCTATTTCAACGGCAAATCGACATATGATCAGAATCGGATGAAAGTCATTTACGTAGTGACAATATGACTATCGGTATACGAGATGGCCACGAATAGTCTAGGTCGACAACCCTGAGTATAAAAAAGCAACGGAAACTTGGGCGTGTAGAGTGCATGCAGAGGCGATTGAATTGCTATACTAACCTCAAGTTCATAACTACCGGTAACGGTAGTACATGCAGCAGTTTCTGGTCAAAAGACCTGAATGAATGCGAGGGAGCCTTGGCTAAACTGACCACATCTATGCAGGGAAATCGGGCAGACTCTGCGAATATTTGTGTTCCATACTATTACATTCATGAGAACACCTGAAGTGCCGCGAAGCTACCTTTGCAGATTAGTACGTCGGCTAAACAGAAGACGGTAGAAGCTAAACTGGTAAACACCGGAAGCTGACGAACGTATCATGGGAATTATTTGTGCAAGCCTACACGGATAACGGGTGAACTACCACTTGGTGGAGCAAGGCTTGATAGCCACTAGGTTAGACATCGGAGACAAGGATAGCTCAGCACCAGGTCCACCAGTGAAGTTGCAACACAGAAGATTGCAAGAGGTGGACAAAACGGTCAAAAGAATAGCCTAAGACCCATCATGGTTTTGAAACCAAGTATGCAGCGTGTGTTAATGGAAACGTCATTGAATGTCAAAATACAAAGGCGCAGAGCACGCTGACTCTTGCGAGCACAGCACCACATGTAATGAATGCAATAAGAACCATGGGATTCACTTGGACTCGTACATGTACATTTCCCACCAAGGAGTATTTACGTACACGAAGGGACGGATAACCTTCTATGAAGCTATGCTCCATCACAGTGGGAAGGAAAAGAAGCAAAATAGGACGAAAAGGTTGTATTACCAGCATATATTAATGAAATAAAGACAAATATTCTACTAGATTCTAATATTTATTTTGTATCAACCCGTTCTGATGAGGTGCGGGAGGCGGTGTCTCAGCGGACGGTACGACAGAAATAGATTTTCATAGAGGCAAAATTCGGGAGGTAAGGTACGATCCTCAGTCAGCGCAACCGTTTACGGTGTCGGACACTGTAAATGTCGTACAGAGTGGAAGATGATGGACCAGCCAGCGGTCACGGTGCTGTTCGACCGTTTCTGGGTACATATAGAACACCTCTAGAACGTGTTATATGCTTAAGAGGAGATACCGTTCAGAAATGAAAGTGGATATCCCCGAGCGTGGCTCTTAAAGAGATCTAATCGTTGCAATTTATGCATAAGTGTGCAGGAACAAAACGTTGGCATGAAAGAAACCTGTCGAAGGATATCCTTTATGTGCACTCAGTGCTTTGTTGAGAAGGACAGGAGCGGAGGCAAGTCTGCATAGGGTTTCAATCGTCAGCCGCTCAGGGCTCGAGGATTTGCGGCTTGACATATGAACTACTATTGTTACATACAGCGTGCAAACAGACATAATTACATTTTGTTGGCGATTGGGCGGATGATACGCCTTGCTGCGGGGTGGCCAATGAGACGCTATAAGCATTGGCACGTTTGAGAAAGCAAAGCGCTCTGTGAAGCAGTAGGTAACATGCCCTGGTTTGCTGATAGTGGACTAGCCCACTGATGGTGGAGGAGTTCACAGATTGGCGTACGATGAAGATCATTCGGTTTCACCCAGTGCAGAAGAGAGGCACCAGACCAATAGGCTGGCGAAGATTTTATGACGTACATTTAATCGGTGGCTTTCTCGATATTTGCCACACGGCCAGGAGGCAGCTTGACGGAATCAATAGTGCCACCGTATACTTTGGAAACCAACAACCGAGTCTTCGCGCGTGTGAGGATGCAGATTTAGTAAAGTTTCTCAAGGAGTATTTTGGAGATTTACCCAGAAATGGTAGAACAAGAGGCGACGAGGCTGTACGTGAAAGTTTGGGCGATGCATGACAACCCCCACTTAGCTCATGCGAGAGTGACAAAAAGATAGCGTGTAGATGTTTCCATGCTTAACCTAGGAACATAAATGTACCTCTTTTTTTTTCAGGCCGAAAAGTTTGTAAAATGGCGGCCTCTGGTCTGTTAAAACATATCGAGATCAAATGAGATATGACATTGGTGTTTATTTTTTTTATATGATCAAATACAAGTTCTTTTTCCAAATTTGATGGCTCTTATAACCTGAGTATATGTTATGACTAATGCTACTTGGCCCTATTGGAGACCTTAATAGATGGGAAAATTATATACTAAATATATATGTTATGAACCGAACGGGTTTCCCTGAACATTCCGCGCTGGGCAATATGCGTTTCTGGCCTAGTACCAGTTGATAATAACTCCCATCACATATTTTACCCGACACAAGATTCAACTTTGCGACCTTTCCGTTCTTGTAGTAAACAATATGAATGACTGAACCAACCAACCTAGTACGGTTTGAATCTCCCGTCAATATTTAGAAGAGGTTTCTTTTTTTAGCTTTTCTTCAGATGAACCTTTGATTGTAATTGCCAATGTTAACGCACTATACTTATATAAATACGTCTATCTGCAACGATGCCATGTGAACAATGGATCCCTAGTACTTCCAGTGAAAATGAATACCAAAGTTGCTAAAGGTATAACCTGTGTGATCGAGGGTATTAAGGCTCTTGCCAAGAGGCAATCCCGATCAATCATATACAAGCCACCACTGCTCAAGCCTAACTGACCTCTCTCGTATAAATTTAATATAGCAGAACTTAGTTTAATTCCACTAAAGTTTTTTAAGAGTCCACACAAACCCAGACTCAGTAGGTCCAGCAGATGTGGTCTACCTGTGCGACCACCAGTTTATCACGTGGTGCGTATAAGGGCTACGGGAGAGCTATACCGTGACCTTGGGGCGGATATGTGGGCTTATCGAACTAAACCAAAGCGCACATGCTGTCGAAGCCCTTGTTTGACTTCGACACACAAATGGGCAAGTTTAGCTACGAAGATCCTAAAACAAAGAGGTCTAGCGCTCAAAAGAAAAAAATGATCAGATGTAAACGGATCTGTTTGCTGCTACTTACGGTACCTCAAAATGTAGCACATTAGCATATATATAAGCAGAAGCCTAGGATTATGTGTGAGGCGCATAGAGAAGTACAACTAGTAGTGAAGGAGATATTCTGTGGCGGTGAAGGGGTTACTACTCGGGCTTCAGTACCACTGAAGGATCACCAGTTGAAGAACTGGCCTGCAAGTACTACTGGAGTGCGCAATGACCGCAATGAATGGATCAAAGTGAAAGATGGCACATCTGAGTATAAAAATAGGGTCTGTCAGACCCCGGGTTGCAAAAACCCAGCTGTACCTGAGCCCCGTGACCTCCTAGAGGTGAAATTTGTTACGCTACGCACCTTAAACTGTAGTTGTGGGCCCATTCAATGGATTCACACATGCACACACAAAAAAATGATAACGATACATACACTCAATTATTTTTACTGAACATATCACGGCATCAACTGTACAATGCTACTATGGTGATCGATTATTAAGTGTATGTGAGGTAAACGCTAGTCCTACGGAAAGGTAGTATCGAGTTAAACAACATACAACAAACCAGTATCTCCTACATGCAACACAACCCGATGTGTTTAAAAAGTAAATTTAATTAGTGGCCCCAGAAATGGGTCAATTCTGCTAGTTTACGCGCCTATTTGATAACTAACCGACATATACGTTTTATTGTAGTTTATACATCCTATCTACCCCAGTTTTTCCACGCATCTTTTGAAACCGGTCTTATGACCATCTAGGTATTGCTTCACGCACAAAACACGGATTTAAAAGCGTATCTAATTATCTTCTTTTTTTTCACTCATTTTTTAAAAGTATCCAAGACTGTAAGTTTCGGTCTATCAAGGCGATATTAATGCCTTAGAGTAATTAAACGCTTAGGTTAAGTCGAAGTATAATTAAATTCAATGTAAATAAACGAAATGAGCCTTTTAGTATAGTTACGTATGCCTCGTGAAAACAGCAATACTCTGAGGGATTGTGAGGCTGAGACATTGCCTATATATAATCCTCTCAGTACTGTTTTCGCCGAAGGGATTTTATTTAGTGTTCGTTGTCGTTCTAATAGAAACTATGATATGTTTCGTTGGGGCGAATCCGAGAGACTCATAAAATCCTTTCTTTAGAAAAAGAAAAAAAAGAAATACTCTTGATGTCCATAGTTATTGCAATAACTTGCCACTTACCAAGAATTACCGACTTAGCCTTCATCAGACTGGCACATCTGGTTGGCTGAACGGATGATAAACTAAGCAACGCTAATAGTCCTTAAAAGCCTATGTTCGGTTGAGCCATCTCGT